GGATGGGGGAGAGGGGGAGGCGGAGAGGTGGTACTATAGAAAGGATTTTACTTATGGTTTCTGATAGGGGTTTTCCTGGGGAAGTTTGAGGAGAGGTAAGGGTGCGGGGGTGAGGGAGTAAGAATATATATATTATATATATATAGAAATTATAGTAGTGTTCAGAGTAGGTTATATACGACCTTTTTAGATACTACAAGTACGGGGGCCGTAAAAGTTGAACGTCTCTTATTTATAGGCTTACTTATTTTATTATTTTATTGTATATTTACCTATATTTGTGAGTGAGAGAGAGAGCGAGAAAGAGAGAGAGGGGATAGGATAGGGGTAGGATGGGGGTTTATGTATAGTGGAGGGTAGAGGTGGAGGGAGATAGAGGTAGAGGTAGAGACTTATATTTAGGGACGTAGAAAACGGATAGGTACTTCTGTAAAAGAGGCAAAGTGAGGGCGAGGGAAGGGTCTATAATATAGATAGATGGCTAGTAGAATACTTAGGTAGCTATAACTCTCGTAGAACTCTTATACGAGTTCGACGGATCGATATTTATACTTGGGTAAAGGGAGCCCGATAATGTTATATAGTAGAAGTATAAGGTTACTATCCCTATAGTTATACGCTGGATTAGGTAAATCCTACTAGATCTTCCTATATATAATATTTTCAGTTCCCAAGCTAAGTTGCCGGAGGGCCGAGATGAAATTATCTCCTAAGCGAAGATAGTCGTCATTTGTAAGTGATCGTTCCATGTTTGCCCAGTCATGCCATATTGTTAACGACAATCTGGTACCTCATCCAATATCAACATAGTTAAGGAGAAGATCTACCCTGCAAGCGTCGCGTCAGGATGTTCCACCTTATTATCGTTGACGACAGTATTCAGGATTTGAATAGCTTATAATAGTTCACTTTCGTCGCCACATTCTCAGACGATCGTTCTCGTTCATCACGCGGTTGCTGGTTCGTATCGTCACCTGTCTCTTCTTTTGTTCATTGCTCAGCAAGGCTCTTAACTCGTCGATGGAATGATCGAAATCCTTTTCCTTCCCTTCCAGTATTTGAGATGTAAGATGATCGAATTGCGGTCCTGGTCAAAGCTATCGTTGTGGTCGGTAAACAACTTCGATAAAAGAGGGATCTCTACTCGAAAGCCCTTCTGGACTGGCATATGGTTTATCAGTATTTTATATGAGCAGGGTGGTTTTGTAATGTGTACGTATCTCGTGCTGTAATCATGATTCGCTGTTGGGTGACTCTTCCAGTGGGCGAGGAACTAAATAATTGAGGCGGGAATTCCGGCTTCTGTCTCACTGTCTTCTTCAACCCAGCTGGTATTGTGCAGAGTTGATAGGGATAATAATGTAGAAAGATGATGATTTGGTACAGCCTAGCTTCTCTAAACCAAAGGTTTGACCTCAGGAGGGCGCTGTTCTTCGCGTCATCGCTGTTATCGTTTGCTTGGGACCATAGGAGCGATTGATTGTGGGCAGATCAAAATTTGGTATGGCTTCGTTCTTCGCAGATGTGGGGGATATTTGGGGGATTGACGTCAAATCCGCTTGCGAGGACTGGCTACAACGCGTCACTGGGAGACAGAACGGGGCTGATGGGAAAGGTTTAGCAGTTGTAGCAACCTGCTCTGGAAGGAAATAATATCTGCTCCTCTGATCGGGAGAAATGTGATAAACTGTTTCCTGCCAGCCACGCTTTGATGTTCAAATCAAAATTTGAGGCTGCAATTTCGCCCGAACAGTGTTAATCTTGCTGGGATCAACATTTACACAGACTCGAAATCCGCCCAAGTGTCAAATATGGCTAGAAGATGCATTGCCGAGATAGGAAAAGGGGAGACTAGCGGAAACCAAGCCAAGTGGCCAACGGTCGCTTTATATAAAATTTTCGGCACTCCCCTCCCATTGAAGTTTCAAGTTGGAGGTCTTCACGGCCAACCAACCATCCTTTCAGAGTTGCCAAAGCAACAATGAAGTTCATCAGTACTGTCACTTTCTACACTTGCACCAGAAAACATGAAAGAGATAAGAACAAATCGTCATTTCTTTTTCAGAGACTCAATAAGTGCACCTTCAATCCTAAGTCATCATTCGGTCTGTCAGCTTGTCCCAATGAAGAATTGAGGTACGCTGAGCTGTGCCACTGAGACTGCGGAGTCCTGCAAGTCATGAGCTTTCTTCCGCATTCGCCGTCAGAGATCTCAAGCAGCATTTCCATCACTAGTAGTGATTGGTGTTACTGTTGATATAAGACAATTCCTGCTGTATTATCTGTCATTCAAAAGAAGAGAAGAAAAGTTATCTGGAAATGTAACAAATCCATGGCTCTTCCCCACTGTTTGGAGCAAAGCAGCAAGTGCGAAACAAACCTCCTCCAGAGTCCAAGCATAGTTTAGCAGCAACAAGTTTATTTCATACTTTGCTAGACTTCCAGCATAGTGTTACATTTCCTTTTTATTTTCTCTTTTTTTTTTTTTGGACAACTCTTGTATTTCTTTTGTTGAAATGAAATATTTTACTTTTCCATGACTTCTGAAAAAAGAGCACGAGCCATTGGCACGTGGTGTCTTTCCATTTCAGGAGAACCCATTGGATGCGTCATGAAGATATATCATCGCAGTTCAATAAGTCAAAGCGTGTTCTCCAACTTGGAGTAATGGAACGAGAATGGAGAGGAGAGATATGAGAGCTTTTTTTAATGACAATGGCTTGTACATAACAATATCATGCTTCTTTACTTTCCAATCAGAGCTCGGTTGTTCCGCCGTCTCCAAGCATGGGATGACCCAGATACAAATACCATTGGTTATGGCGATAGCCTCGATTGAAGGATGGTATTTGCAGGTCAAGTTTTCTTCTCAGTCGTCGACTTTGGCCGGCGAGCACTTGCAGTTCCTTGAAGTTCTTTACTCCGTGCCACTATTACCACCATGCCAAGGATGTGCATCGAAACCCCTGATTGTGGCCCACTGTTGAATAAGATCCGGATCAGTCAGTGCCCGCCTCGATCGAGTTGACTGAATAAATCACTTCACGGGGCAATGAACAAGCACAAAAGCGTTGAAGTCGTATCTTGTCTGCCGATGCCGACGGAGTAGTTTCGAATCTGCCAAAAGTCGACAGATGTTGCAATGTCAGTGTAGGTGCGTTTGTAGTCTTATCTGCAAATTCGTCCTCACTCCAACTTATCAGCAACTCCAACGCTTAGCATCGAAATTCCAACTCTTGCCATCTCCTGTACGGGCTACGGCTCTCGGGTTCAATCCTGCCACACGCGGACGATGTATCCCTCGAAGTCCGAGTGCCAGTGCGACTATTGCTGGAATGCGAGCTTCCTAAGACATCGTTGAAAGAAGTGGGGGTCCACTGATGCATCAACTAAAAGGTCGTCGATATATATGGGAAGCTGGTGGAAGGGTCCTCGTCAAGAGATGTTTTTAAGTGGGAAGAGAGACTCGTATGCAAGAGAACTGTTGCTGGTAACATGCATTGGGACATGATAGTGCTCCAAGTCGGTTGGACGATGGCGAATAAGCCAGATATGATGGAGTTCTGAGGGCTCTTGAAGCTTTTAGAGTGTGGCAATCGCTTTGTTTGAGAGATTATACGTAATTGTATCGACATCGATCCAGATAAGATGGGTCTTACAGTTACTTCGTGAACTCAGCTCGCCGGACAACTCGATGTCGTTGAGGTTGATTGCGGCCGGATGTCGTGTGCAAATATGATCTTGGATTCCATGTTTTCCATGGTATTTGTTGATCGGATACTAAGAGAACATAGTTATCATTCTCTTGGAGACTATCTCAAGAAGATTGCTCGTTTCTTGAGCTACTGTTTTCTTCTTTTATGCCACTTCCTAAGCAACATTGGTAATTCAGGGATCTAGATTATTGACCTAACCCCTCACCGAGCTGAAAGTTCACGAATCAGAACGAGCCACAAAGGAAACACATTGTCGAGAACATGTAGTCAACAGAGATATAATAAAATCAGGATCTGGCCTAGAATTTCCTGGTGAAACGCAAAATCTTACAAGACAAGCAATTCGAGATAGAAGCTTCCAGGTGATTTCAATGCTGGCCAACTAAATCATCCCGATCGAGCTGCGCTTGCAGTAGTTACTCAGAGTAAGATCTTACATACTCTTGCAAAGCATTGATCAGCAGCTTCTCCGCAACATAGGATTTCCCCTTATCACCAAACAGCTCTTGCACATGTTTCCTTGAT